CTCAAGGCAATAAAAAACCCCTATGCACTAAATTCATATCAGATGTGCGTGTGCCCCTGATGTTGACAATAATGAATGTCACGTATGCTTCTTTTAAAATTTGTTTATATCCATTCTTCCTTTTTAGTTAAAGCTGAAATTTGCAAGACAAATTATTTTGGCAGAGAACAGAGAAGTTAAATAAAACTGTGCTATTCTCTGCTAGATTGTTAAATTATCTACACTCTTGAAAAATAGCTCATGAAAAATGGGAAAAGAAAGAACGGTTATATTGATATCCCTTTTATATTTTTTCCTCAGCTCACCTGTTTCTCAGCTCTTCCTCTCTGTCTTATGACTCACCCCCAGTTTGCAAGTTATTCACCAAAAGAACTCAATCTTTAACCAAAACAATAAAGGTATACACATTTTTGTTCTGCATTGCACATGGAATTTTGAGCAAATCTAAGAGGTATGGAATTAATTTGCATGAAGTGTACAAGACAGGTGTCATAGTAGTCCTCTTTTCTTCCCATAAATACTTTATTTAACCCACTACATTGAAAGCGGGGGAAAGAACAACAGGCTAAAAGGTTATGGTCATTTTTCTTTGCAATATTACCTGTAATAGTCATCATATTACTTCGCCTTCACATCAGTAATGTGACTGTCAGCATGGAAAGTGTTCTTGGGAAACAGTCAAAAATCAATCTCAAATGTCTAGACCCAGCCACTCCTCCCTGGATCCCAATTTATAGCTGTTAAGTCAAGATTTGATTACAATCTACCCAACTGCCTGTGTGACATCATACTGGTACATTCTCAGTTTGACAAAGATAATTTTTAAAAGAATGAAAAAAATTTATTTAGAACAGAAAAAAATATAACTATTACATCAACAAATTAAAAAAAAGAACTGGATTAACAGCCCTTAAATTAGCATTTTAATTTATAGAAATACAACCCTGGTTTCTGGCTTGGGATGCAAGACATTCTCTAATGCTAGAAAATTTGTCACCGGTATATTTTCTACTGGATCAAAATGAAGGAGGTGGAAACAGGCAAAAAAATAAATAAATAAATCACACTATCAAATTTTAAAAAACAAGAGTTTTGTAATAAATAAGCAAATTGACTGTTTTAAACTAGTGGGAAGTGAGACACTTCGGTAAAATAAATAAATATCTTTCAAGTGGTGCCCAGATTCCCAGGGATGTACACTTCAGAGCTATAAAATAAAATGCCTTAAAATATTTACTGTATATCTCATCAAGCCACCCAGGCCAACAGAAATTTTGTTTTGACTTAATGGAGTTCTAGAAATATTAAGGTCATGTTGAATATGCATAGCTAAGCAGAAGAGTACTGCTGAGCATCCTAAATGCCAATTATTTATTATTCCGCACAACTATTCCTTTTCAGTACAATCCACGGTACTACTCAATCAATTTCCTAGTTTTGTATGTTCGAAGGCGGTGGTTCTCAAATGTATTTGATCGTGCCTTACTTCTTTGTGTTTGTAATAATTTCTGCCCCGACCCCTGCCACACAAGTACATATAGAGCTGCCTAGCTCTGAAGGCAGAGTGAAGAGTGGCGGCTGCTGGCTGAGCACCCAGCTCTGAAGGCAGTGCCACCGCCAGCAGCAGTGGAGAAGTAAGGGTGGCATGGGATGGCATTACCACCTTTACCTCTCTGCTGCTGCTGCTGGCAACACCGTACTATGCCACCCTTACTTCTCCACTGCTGTTGGTGGTGGCACTGGTTTCAGAGCTGGGTGCCCAGCCAGCAGCCGCCACTCTGTGGCCATGCAGTTCTGCAGACAGAGTGGCTTCTCGCACCCCTCCACTTCTCCAGAATACATTCCACACCACCTGCAGTTTGAAAACCTCTGTTCTAAAGTTTTAAAAGAATTACCTTGAATGTTGGTAAGTTAAAAACAAAAGTATGTTGAGCCGGCAGAGTAACATTAATGATAATGTGAATCCCATGCTTAGTTTATTACTTCCAGGGGAGGTAGAAGCAGGGATCCTTGGAAGTACAATTCAGCAATCAAAGGTACCTGGGTCCATCATTATTAGCTTCTCTAGAGAAAGTGCCAGTTGGTCACCCCAGACATCAAGATGTGCTGGGCATCTGGCACAGGGCCTAATCAAGATAGTAAGGAAATTAGGTAATTACATGGGGAATAACTGAGATACTATTAAAGAGTCTAGGTATAAGCCAGGCAATTTCTGACCCACCCATGCTCCTTCCTGTTCACCTTGTACAAGGCTAACTGTGAGGGGTGGAAAAATGATCAGAAACAGAAAAGGGAAGAAGTGGAAAATGTATGTATCCAAGATAATCTCAGTGGTTAATACTTACAATATCGCCTATGTCTTTGTCAATTTATTAATTCCATTTTGGTTCTGTGAATGCCATGTTACATTTCAACCTCCACGTTGAATATAAGCTTTAATGTCGCTTTGAGCATTTATTTTTAAGTGGAAATTTAACATATTATGGAAAGACTATACAGGGGAAGCTGTGACAGAGCAATCAAGAGCTATCAACACTGAATGTGCCTACCCTAGTGGAACAATGGATTTGCTACCAGCAGAACCACTGACCGAACGATGCTCTGCCCAGAAGCCCTGAGTTATTTCACCACCAGAAGACAATCAGGCTAAGAAGGCTGGGAAGGACACTCAGGAGGATTGCATTCAGCAGTTCATTGTTTTCCATACATCTGGAACTCGATTGTGCTTTTCAAGGGAGAAGTGTGTGTATAAGAAATTCCTTTGCTTAGCCTGTAATTCCTTGCTTTACTGCCACAGTGTCCATGACGAGCATAACTAGGAAACCAGAGCTCCCACAATGAGTGGACTCTGAAGAATGTATCTAAGCAACTGGGGCTCTGGGGAGCTGTGGCACTGGTTCCAGAGTCAGACTGTGGGCTCCTACTGCTGAAGTACTTGAGAGCGTGCATGAGACTCCCCTAGAGCTAGGAACAGTGATCAGTCATTTCCCAGACCCAGGGGGTATTAGATGCAGATGGGAGCAAATGGCTGGATCCAATCACAACAGACATATGCACCACTTAAGTCCCTCTTGGGCTTTTACACTGTCTCTCTGGACTGGGGTAAGCTTCACCCAAAAGGATTTGAGCAAAGCAAACTCAATTTAAGACATAGGTGCTTAAAGATAATTCTTAAATGCATGAGGGATTCAGTGGTTGGAGAAGAGTTAGACTTTTTATTAATGCTTTAATTATTATTATTTTGTTATTTTGAAAAGCAATCAGCAGCCTTAAATGTTGAAATAAACAGTATAACAAAGACCTACTCCTTTTCGACAAACTTACTTGAGGGCCATCTTTCATGGTAGCATTCTGCACCCATACTCATTGAATTATCAGCCACTTTATAAAGTGCTTTGGTAAACTCTTTCCCTTCCCCCTCCATCACCCAAATGACATGGATAATCTGACCAATACCAGCACTGTTGCAATTTACATAGTACTACCAGATTTTGCATTGCCAAGATCTTTTGGAGATATAAAACCAAATCATTAAAATACAAAAATAAGAATTCTTCAGTATCACATTTAAAATAAAACTTCGTTCTGGCTTTAAATATGCTGATAAAAGTAATATTCCCAATAACCAAAACCAGAGTTTCAAAACAGGCAAATGTACTTTATGAGGAAAAAAACATAACCAATAGTTAGAGCCTTCTGACAACCACACATATTATTTGAGAAACCAATCTACCAATGAACTTGGAAGGTATTGTACACTAAAAGTCCTACCTTAAAGCCAACACAAAGATTTGCTGGCAGGATATGCTGTTTGGGGACTATTCATGTGAGCAATCCTGCTTATGTATTTTGCATATCAGTGATAGTACCTCTTCAGAAGGAAGCTACTTTCCATAAGGTTCCACTGAATTTATTTTAGATATGAAGAGAATGCCTCCTGCATTACTTTCCACAGTGAAATAAATTCACTAGTGTATTTGAGTTGTTTGAAGAGTGACTTTAGGCACATAAACCTGGGGAGTACTTCCTATCTGAGCCAGTCCAGCAACAAAAGTTTGTATCATACAAAGCATGAAAGACTCTAGAACACTGTAAGCTTATAAAAAATCTCATAACTAGGCAAGGTTGAGCCTGAACAGTGATTAGCTGGGAAACCTTCAAGAGAAATTCAGGGACTACAAAAATCATGTTAATGATTCACAAGGTGGCACCTTTCCTCATATCATTATAAAACCAATGCATACATATCATGCTGAGGGCAATTGTTGACAGGAAGATAATCTTCTGCATGAACTGTAGAAAAAAAAGTCTTAATCACCCATTAAAAATCCAGTAGCACCTTTCAACGGGAATAGGCTTCTGACTTTGGCAATCATATTCTCACTTATCAAATACAGTTACCTAATTGTGCCTATATTACAGATGCACACACCCCGTGGTTCTTGAGAACAACATACACTATATAAATTTAAGATATCTACCATTATAGTTTGATAGACTTATTAGAACAAAAATAGACTTTGACGTGAAGGGAATTATAGACTCTATTGGTGAAAGAGACAACCCAGAAAAAATAAAATTGTGAACTTCACAGTTTGGGCTGAGGTCCTGTTTGCCTCAATTGGAAAATGGTGGTGATAATATAAAAAGGTAACCAAGGATGAGACCAAATTCAAATGTTACTCACAATAGAAATGAAAGAAAAAGGAAAAAAACCAACAACCCTAATTCATTGCTTTCCATAGATCTCTAGATTGACCTAGTTTTTATCACTATACAGTAGTAAACATTAAAAGAGAATCAAAAGTATATCTAGAACTACAATGATAACCAATGAAAGTTGTGGGTCAAATCTTGCTTTCCCCACTCCAATCTATTATCCCATCCGCACAAAAATTTCAGAACAGTATGACTGAATGAGTGCTTGATCATTTCTTTATAAATTTTTGAAGAAGAAACTGGGAGGGATGAAAAAGGAGATACGATACTGAAAAACATACCAGAGGAGGCTTCCAATCTTTCCAATCTGCTGATCAACCAGTCAAGAGATCCAGAAAATTGAGCACAGTTTTTACGATTCCCCCTAATAAGTGCCGCTATTAAAAGAAGAAAAACAGAAAAAAAAGTTAATAAATGTGTCCAATTCTCATTAACAGAAACCCCATAATTCCTGTGATGAACCGTGATCCAACCAACCAGATGCAAAACAACTTGGCAAATGATTCTATTGAATAATAAAATTTGTAGGATTTTGTCATCATCAAATTGCCCATCACTGTAAAAAAAATTTATCTAAAGCCAACAGTCATCTTCCTAGATCCCTTCTTGAATATCAAAGTAGTCCATTTTGAAGGAACAAAAAGTAAGTCCATTGGTATTTCTGAACAAATCCTACATAGCATTACTGTTGGAGGAGCAGGAGGGTATTGGAAAGGAGGAGGGGGAACACACAAACCTAAGGGGACAGTAGGATTTACCTTGTACTGGCAAAATAAGTATGTTCAAGAAAGAAAAAGAAAAAAGATGACAATGAATTTTATGTTCAGGAAATGTTTGTCAAACTTTCTGCCCTTATGGGATTTGTACTTCACAGTACTATAAAGGTACAATATTAAAAAAATTTGATCGGGAACAAAGGAACTTCTACATAAATTCTAAATGGAAGAATTATGCTACCATCACTTATCTCTAAATTAAGGAGACCAGAAGAGGTCTCTGATGGTAACAAGGCTTCACTCTTCAAAACATCATGTCTTAAGATAGTTTAAAAGAAGCATTTACAGTGTTATCACAAGTAGTGTTAAAGTCATCCAAAAAAAAAACAAAAAACCCTGGGCAAAGTTCATCCTTGGACAGAAATGGAATTACAGATGGTGAGAAGTAAATATGGAGAGGAGTACACAGTGATAATTTCAGGACTTGAAGAACCTCACCTTCTTCCCGGGGGGGGGAAAATCCTACCAGGGACTAACAATTCCATCTAGAGTGTGGAACAGTGCAAACTGCTGTTCTTATGCAAGCTTCACATGCAGCTCTACCAAAGCATCAATCTTAACCAGAAACTTCCCCTGCCATTCTCGTCAAGAGAGATTGCTGATCACATTGGGAGACTGTGTATATTTCAAGGGCTAAGGAGACCAGGTCTGTACCTGGCTTTGCCACTGATTCACTGTGTGACTTTGGGCAGTCTCCGAATCACCCTATACCTCAGTTTCCCCATCAGTTAAAAGGGCTAATAATACTTGCATAACTTCCTAAAACACTTTGTGAGCTATAGATGAAAAGCACTCTATGAGGGCTAAGTAATATTGTTTGGTTATTAGTTATGTTATATTGCGCTATGGTTTTGAGATATTGATTCAATGCCATTAGGAAATGCATTTACACCCTTAGAATTGTGGCCTCAGTATGATTTGAAGCTGGGTCTGCTGCAGACATGAAAGGCCAGGGTATGAATGCTAATCCTTTACATCACTAAACCAGTGAGTTGACAGAGTGGTTTTAGGGAAGCAGGGGAAGAGAGGCTGAAAACCTAATGGTCTGTGGCAAATCATCTTTCTCTGTTCCTGTAGAACCACACTCTGAGTGGGAAATGGTGATCAGAGAACAGTTCCACTAAAGCTTTATTTAGAGGCATTCAGCTGTAGCTGTAGATAATTTTAGTACTGTTCAGGTAACCAGCACAACTAATCACAAAGCACAGAGAATCCCTAATGGCCTATTATGGCAGAAGTGATATAGAAGAGATGCATTCCTAAAATCACACATTTGAGATATAAAATTCATCAAAATTACAAACGCTCACATTCTACATAGAAGCTAACTCATTTAAATATTCTTTTTTCTTAAAAGGGTCATTCTTTGTAACAATGAATTATAAGACCATGTTTTGAGCTAGTATATTTAATAGGCTATCAAGCATTTTGATTACACATTTCATTTTTCAGAGAGTTTCTGAGCCATAGCATTTTTAATGTTACTGTAGTGTTTAGATGCTGCTTGTAATTATTAGAACTGGGAGCACTGGCTGTTGGGAGTCTGAAAGGACAGGAAGCAGGAAGGGAAGTTGAGGAGGCGGAGTGAGAGCTACCGAGGGTGCAGCAGCAGCTTGGTAAGAGATTTCCACTTTAAAAATAAAGTCCTGTTGACGTTTGTTAGTACCTTGCCTGGTTGCTATAACATTTTGGCGACGAGGAAGGGATCTTCTGCCTCTGAACCCACCTGCACCCTTTCTACAAAGCCCGGGTGAGCCTCCAATTGCTTTTAATGCCTGGATCCATACGTTTGAGACTTATCTGCTTGCAATCAGTGCTACAGAGATTTCTGAAGTAAGAAAGTGTGCTCTGCTAATCCACTGCCTTGGAGCAGAAGGGCAGCGTATATTTTACACTTTTCCCCTTGCAGATGATAAATATGAGACTGCACTCACAGCATTAAAGAACTTTTTTGTGTCAAAAGTGAATGTAGTAGCTAATCGCTACAGATTTCACCAGCGTGTTGCTTCCCTGAGGAGTCTGATTGTAACTTGTGACTTTGGGAATATGGCAGATGAGATGATTAGAGACCACCTCATTGAGAAAACAACCATGCTTCCTGTAAGGGAACACTTACTTCTAGGACCACAACTTACACTAGAAAAAGCAATAACCATTGCTACTCAGATTGAGTCAGCTACAGCTGAAGCCAAAATTTTGAGCATGGATACAGGAGGCACAGTCCATGCTGTGACTCCTTTGCAGAAAAGTTCACTATCGCTGCAGACAAACAATTACAAGAGGAAAACTAATGAAAAACCACCGAATGGCCACTGGAATTAAGTATTCCAAAGAGCTACTTGATGAGCACACACTACAAGTAATACAAAGAAAAACATAAATGCAAATATATGTAGTAGCCACTCCATTCATTTATTAGTGATAGATCTGGTTTCTCCAATATTGCCACCATATACCCTATTTTGACACCTGATGCTCTCTCATTCCCTCATCACCATCTACCACTCACCCACATTCTCAGTGACCTAATGTTGATTTTCTGTCCAACCTGATAGACTTTTGTTCCCCCACCCTTTTCTCCTCATTCAACTTTTAGCCCTGGATCAACTCCCCCACTTACCAGAATGGCCACTCACTTCACCTTGTCTTCATTAAAGAGCGCTCCTTCTCTGATCACTCAATAGTAGAGTTCCTTTTCTCTGAACACTATCCACTTCCTCCTTCTGTATTTCATATTTTCCCTCTGTCCACTGCCCTCACCTGGCTGTTCTGTGACCATCAGTCCATTGATATCTGTGACTGCTCTGCCTCTCCCAGCCTCCACTTCTCCACTATTGATTCAGTACTCTCCCCACCTCCCAAGATGCATTTGCCGCTCTCTATTTTACACCACAAAATGCTTTCCATTTATTCCCAACATCCAATTCCTTTTAGACTTGATGCCAAATGCCTCTGAATAAAGTCAAGATGCTATGCAGGCTTCCATCCACTACAACTTTGTACTCTCTCTTGTTAATTCAAACAGCAGCACTGACTCTCATCCCCACAAGCTTGGCTGCCTATTCACAGCCTTCAGCTCCCTCCCCTTAAAAGCCTTTCAGACACCTCTTCCCTCTCCACACAATATCCCACCAGCTTTCTGCAAAAACATTGATCAGAACTACTGTGATCCACCTCCTCTTTTTGCTCCTTTTCCCCCTCATCCTCTGAAGTTTCCCACCTAATCTCCACCTCCAAAACCTCCCATATGCCTCAGTAGTGACTGGGACTGGTGAGGTGAGGAAAATGGGACTGTAATGAGGAGTCGGGTGGGGAAGAGACAGGACTGGGGCAAGTTGGAAGGGATGATTTGGGGAGTTGTGGAGGAAAATGGGCAGAAAGGTCTGTGCTCACTAGAGAACACTCCCCTCTGGAGCCTGAATGAGACCCAAGATTCCCGAGTCTCACCATTCCTTTGTGGCCAGCAAATATCTGAAACCCACTGGCAAAGTGTGTGCAACATCCCCCTCCAGTGCTGGTCTACATATAATGCAACATGATTTCATGTAGCAAAATCTCTGCTTTTATCTGATCCACACTGTGAGGGAAAGAATGGAACAGTCCTGTGGCAGATTTTGTCTGTTTTATTTGAAGAAAATGGCATCTATTTGAAAGCTGCTCACAAGGTAAGAAATGTTCAATTAGTTTTGGCAGAGTATGGGTGAGGCAGGAAAATATAGCAAAATAAATGCAGTTTATTATGTTGATTTTTAAGTTTATTCCATTGGTTTAGAAGTGAAGGATTTATTTTTATATAGTCATTTTGCCCACAACTGAAGAGCAGCCACCTCTGGGATGAAAATCAGTCAACAGGAGCAGCATATAGTAACAGAGCAGAAAATGAAGAATACTGTATCCAATTGAAATTATTGGGAGAAATGTTCAGGAAACAGAAGGCTACCACATAAGTGAAAATTTGGCCAGGACACCAAGACCCTTACAAAGAAGGTAATGGGAACTTTAATGACCACAGGTAGTCAAGATCTTAGTTTTACATCATCCAGAAAACAGCACTCCCCACTCAGAGACTGTGCCTTTATGCGTGTTTATACAGAACCTGACAATGTTGACTGAGACCTCTAGGCAACACTACAATATAAATATTTTTTCCAACAATGTGCAAGATACAAATGCAAAAATCATGGATTTGTCAAGATATCCATTTACTTTAATCAAGGCATACTCACTTCATTTTATTCATAACTACTCTTCCACACTCACTGAAATGGAAGGTCTTCTCCAATATAGTCCCTAGATAATTTCAGTGGTCTTTGGTTTCAGATTTCCATTTCACCTGAATAGATTAGTTTGCTGTCAAAAAATCCCAGACAACCATAATATGTCTTACCTAGTAATTCATACAAAGAATTTAGAATAGATTTCCAAGTCTCTCCTGCTTCCTTCCCAGCTACGTCAGCAAAATGGGCTGCACTGCTGTACACGTGCAAGCGATCAATGCATTCAAGGACAAGGTTGATCATACCCTAGAAATAAAAAGTTCAGGTTTTCAGAGAAGAAAATATCTCTTCAGTACAAAGATGTCAATGTAGATTAAAAGACGACAAGAAAAAAAGATACATGACAAAAAAGAAAAATAAATGTAAAACACAAAGTAGACATGTAGCAGATGCAGCCAGCTATCTCTGGGGGAAGTTATTAAGGAAAATGCTGAAGAATGTTTTACAGTGCTTTGTTACTAGCATATTTGCTCTATGAGTCTTCCAAAGTGAAATTAAATACCTGAGTTCCAAGATCAATTACCAGTGGCACCAGTGAAGTAAGTGGGATAACTCTCATGCTTAAACTAAGGCACGTGCTTAAGTACCTTGCATAATCCAGTACAAAGAGAGGGAGCTAATGAGTCTTTTATGACAGTAATTACTAATTACATTTGAGGGGAGAACATAAGATCATAATTCAGGGATCCTGAATGGCACCTTAGTAATTCTGATGTTCAGAATATTGTATTTTTTTTAAAAAGGGAAAGGAAATAAAACCTTTAATTTCCCCTCCAAAAAATCCAAATAAGTACAGATCACAGGCAGGAGCAGACCCGAAAAAAACTAATGGATATCCCACATAAGCAAAACTAGTATCAGATGTGCAGCCATCTCAAAATAAAAATAAATTTTAAAAAATTACTGAAATGATTTATCAGATTGGATTCTGACAATTGATGTACTGCAACAGAAATTTACTAAAAATAGGCTCAGCATTACAGGTTGCCAGTTACATGAATCATCCATGAAACTCACAAAAAGAAATTAGATTTTCAAAATGATGCTATTAGTGCAGATAGTTTAATATCAAAATGTCCTCCCAAAAGCTATTTTCAAAATTGAAAGTGTCCCCTCTACCATACTGAGCTCTATGGTTACTCCTAAACCTGGGTTTCCCACAAGACACCCAGCTACCTATAATGTTATTGTTAGGTCAAACCAGGTAAAAACCCTACTGGCGTACACAAAGTGGGAAGTACAGTAACAATGTAAAGAAAAAATGTTACCTCTTCCTGGAAGAGATTTTGTCGATTCTTCAGTGCTCTTAGCCTGTTCTGTTTGTCTTCATGTTCTAAATGTTCATCTGGCAGGTGGAAGTAGCCGATCAAGTCCTGAAGGCTCAGACTGACTGACTCAATGGGAAAGTCAACTGTGGAAGACTTCACTTTCTTGCTGAGAGCATCAAGGCCCCTAAAGTGAGTTTCAAACACTTCTCTAAGTTTTGAAAATGAATTGATTTGTCATTGTCTTTTTTTCTCTTCACTGCTTTAAAATCAGACCTGAGTTCTCTGCTCTAAGACTGTCCTCTCAATGCTTCCTCCTCGCCAACAATAAGTCAAATGCATTGCGAAAAGAGAATTGGTAAAGGAGACTTATATCAGTTCCATTCAGCTTCATATTTGGAGTGATGAAGGAAATACCATGGACAAAACAAAGGAAACACAACTTTTACACCTGCTCAGAGTGTTTCTGTGTTATCAGGTCTGTCAAGGTTCCTCCCCCACTCTGAACTCTAGGGTACAGATGTGGGGACCTGCATGAAAAACCTCCTAAGCTTATCTTTACCAGCTTAGGTCAAAACTTCCCCAAGGTACAAAATATTCCACCCGTCGTCCTTGGATTGGCCGCTACCACCACCAAACTAATACTGGTTACTGGGGAAGAGCAGTTTGGACGCATCTTTCCCCCCAAAACCTTGCACCCCACTTCCTGGACAAGGTTTGGTAAAAAGCCTCACCAATTTGCCTAGGTGACTACAGACCCAGACCGTTGGATCTTAAGAACAATGAACAATCCTCCCAACACTTGCACCCCCCCTTTCCTGGGAAATGTTGGATAAAAAGCCTCACCAATTTGCATAGGTGACCACAGACCCAAACCCTTGGATCTGAGAACAATGAAAAAGCATTCAGTTTCTTACAAGAAGACTTTTAATAAAAACAGAAGTAAATAGAAATAAAGAAATCCCCCCTGTAAAATCAGGATGGTAGATATCTTACAGGGTAATTAGATTCAAAAACATAGAGAACCCCTCTAGGCAAAACCTTAAGTTACAGAAAAGATACACAGACAGAAATAGTTATTCTATTCAGCACAATTCTTTTCTCAGCCATTTAAAGAAATCATAATCTAACACATGCCTAGCTAGATTACTTACTAAAAGTTCTAAGACTCCATTCCTGGTCTATCCCCGGCAGAAAACCAGCATATAGACAGACACACAGACCCTTTGTTTCTCTCTCTCCTCCCAGCTTTTGAAAGTATCTTGTCTCCTCATTGGTCATTTTGGTCAGGTGCCAGCGAGGTTACCTTTAGCCTCTTAACCCTTTACAGGTGAGAGGAGCTTTCCCCTGGCCAGGAGGGATTTCAAAGGGGTTTACCCTTCCCTTTATATTTATGACAAGGTCACTTACACACTAAATGAAGAGCTAGAACTAGAAAACATTCTGAAGGAATCACTGTAGGAGCAGGAGGAATAGTTACCAATGAAGAAAGAAGGATCTCAGTTACAGAAAATAACTCAAAAACATAACTAACACTTATTATGGCCCTGCCCCTCCTTCCTTTGAAGTGAGCTTTGCAACTGACTTCAGCAGTAGCAGGATTGGGCCCTAAGCAATAATCTTTCTATTAAGGTCACCAACTGTTGAGGTCCCAGGCCTCGAGTCAGCAAGATTCTTCAGAATGTACCCAACTTTCAGCATGTGAGCAGTGCCATTGAAGTCAACGGGATTGCTCATAGGGTCAAAGATGGGGGGCATCTTTAAGCAACTTGTTGGGGTCTACGATATGATTTATTTTACAATGTGAAATTCTCAGGCAGAAATAACTATCATAGTTCTTTATCCTTTTTGCAACCTCTTATTCAAAGTCAATACACGACAGTATTTTCAGACAAAACAGTAATTTATGGTTTTACTTACCTGGGTGAGCTAGAAAGAACCAAGCTACAAAAACAAAATCTCAATAAATAGCACACAATCAATTTACTGCACAGTACAATAAAGTATGTCAACATACACAAAAATGGTGAATTCTCATAATTATTTCCAAAAGAAATCTAAGAAACATGCTCCTTCAAAGAAATTCGTAAATAATGCTTTGAAATACGATCTAATTCAATTTGTGCTTCTTAGAATAAGATCATGCTAAAACTGGGTTGTTAGAATAGAAATATGGATGCCACTTGTACTTCTACATAATTTCTCTTCTTCAGCGTTACCTACATTTTTTAAATTGTTACCATAACAATACTTTTTCTCTCACTTTTTCCTGTATAGCATTCTCAGGAGCTTCTAAGAGAGCCTTCACAAAAAAGAAACTATCAAGGGCTTTACTCTACATTCTTTATTTTGAATGTCACATAATAGGCAACTCTTCTAGCAGGCACTTCTGTCTGTCACATCATGAGTAAATGGAGATTTACGTTTTCAATAAATTAGCATATCTATATATTATGGGCGAACATGGATCCAGGCCAGACACACTTGAAACCAATATCTCAGCTCTCTTTTGGCTTTGGGAAGGGAGTAGCATGAGACTCACTCATTATTTTGCTACTTCCAGCTACAGTCAGAAACAATACAAGAATGTCCTTTTGTGAGCTATTGGGTTAACAAAGAGGTTCAGGAATTAGGCTCTTACCAGTGCCATTTAAGAGAGGGTTCAGAGTGGGAAAGTTTACTACGCTGAGTTGCCTACAATTCTCTCATTCTCAGCAGGCCAAAATATTAATTGATAAAACAATTTATATACACTCCAAGATATTAGAGAAACAAATAATAACAACATAAAAGACAAAAAAGCAAACAAAGGGAGCACAGTGGAAAGAGAAAACTCAGTAAAATAATGATCTAATGGTGTGATGGGAAGGAGGAAGATTCAGGTTTTTCAGAAGAAAACATTTACAGCAAAATATTGAGATTACGAAGAAATAAAAATAAAATCTTTTTAAAAGATATAAATGGTAGGTGGAGATGTCAGAAATCATGACAATTCTAATGGTTCTAGAATTCCAATTCTTGGATTATTTTAAGACGGAGGAGGGAGAGGGATATGTTCTCTGAAAAAATTTTCCCAAAAAGTTCTAAAATGTTTTTGCAGAATCTCTCATACATTTCCAAAAAACTCAAAAGGTTTTATTTGTAAATCCATATTTGTCCAGGTTTGAAATTTCACAATACAGCAAAGAGTAAGAACTTAACCCCTGATCTAGCAAAGCACTCAAGGTCACGATTAATTTTCACATGAGTAGGTCCTTTGACTTCTTCTGGAGCTACTCTGAAGGTAAATTTAAGCTTTACTTAAGAGCATTACTGGAACTGGGCCTAAGTTTGCAAAGTAAAATGATACAGCAAGGCAAGCAAGACAAGGAGGAGGAGAAAAGCAATGGAATTAAATTAAACATTTTTGAATTTGAAAAATGACATCTCCAATTAAGTAGTGTGATGGAAAGGGCTATATCCTGCTTAACCTTACATAACTATATAAGGAGCCCATAGGTAACGAGGTAGCGAAGGCAGATATCTTGCAATGCAGATGAGGACATGGCTCTAGTGTGATCCTGGCATAGCCTGCTAAGGACACTAGCAGCTGCAAATATACCATGAAGGAATGTACATTCATGCCCACAACCCAAGGTCTGAAGACGAAAGTGCTTTGCTTGTTCCAGCTTTATTTTTAACCAGCATAAGGCAGTCTGGACACCTGGCAAACTATCCATAGAGTGGCCTTGAGCTAGTGGTATAGTTGAAAGTGTAAAATGAGATTTTAGTGGAGAAATAAGAATAAAACTTATATTTTGTGCCCCCAAATATATATGATAATAAACTGATTTTTTTATTTTTCTTTTGTGTCTTCACAAAACGATTTTGAAGGCCATGGTTTAGCTAACAGCAAGCTTATGACTTCACTCTTTAGTGTTGATTAAAAATCACTAAGTTTGGTCATAAGGCAATAAGAATAATATAAAACATATCAGCCAAAATGCAGTCACACTCAATATTTTATTACCCACAATCAGAACAAATAAACAAAATCATAAAAAGCTCTAAGCAGGAAGGATGATTGCAATAATTGGTGCCCATCTACAACAGTTATTGTACTGTACTGCTACTATTTTATGCAACAACACTATTCTTTCATTTTTCCTGGCAAAACCATCAATTTGTTTGTTGATATTATATTACCACATTTTAACTGTAGTTAGAAAATAAAGCACCTCATGGCCTGCTTGATAGCCTCACAAATTCTGGCAGATGAAATTTTTCTTTTATGTTTAGTTTGAATCGTAATGTCAACGTTAATGTTTATAAATTTATATCAAGGTTGAAAGAGAAGGGAAGATTAGAAATGGAGAAAATAAATGGACAGTAATTCTTCTGCAGATTCCCCTTTGCTTATTGTTGATAAAGAATTACAAGGCCTATTATTGCAAATATTGGTCTATTTTTTTTTTTTGCAAAGCTAAATTGCTCACCGTGATGTCAATGATCATTTGGGGTGGGACATGGGAAAGGAAAAGGACGACAAAAAAGGTCCACAGTAAAACATACCTTATAAACCTGTTGAAAAGGAAGACTGTACTACGGATGACTCGTGCTGTATGGGATTCTTCATGCTGAGATCTGGACAAGGTCAAACCATCATCCATGTGGCCTTCATGGTGCATTATAGCCTGCAAGACAGAGACAAAGACCAGCTATTGCAAAGAAAAACAGAAGGAAGTTCCATGTTCCTTATTTGTAAAATATGTAGTGAGAGGGGAGGGGTGGAGTAAATACAAAAATACACACAGAGAAACCAAAGTTAATCAAAATCAGATTAGCCTGTAATTTAGTGCCTGGTACCCAGTTATACCCTGGTATTACTTAAAGCATGTCCAGTTCCATGACAATTTTAGTACTACCACTTCTGAAAGGCTTACCTACAAAGCCATCAGAAGTCAGTGTTTTCCACATTAAGGTCATATCAAAATATATATGGCTTTACCTCCATAGGAAAGTAAATATATGGGAATATATTAGGAATGGGAAACATAAGAACTATGCTGAACATCAGCTCTTTCCCCTTATCCACCTGCACATAAAACCTTCTAAAATTCAGCCACGTCCAGAAATGGCTGACCCTGGATGCCAACCCTTTTACTGGCCCTCTTTCTTAGTACACCCTGGATCACTAGAGAAAAGCCTAGATTTGATCATGACTAGCTATTATGTTTTTATTATAACTTCAAATTTCCTGTGTGTGTGAGAGTGTAAAATCTTAATCATAATATTACATTGTTGTTGTTGCCACCTTACTTGTTAAATATTGAAAGATAAATTTAAACATAGAAAGGCAAACTGCTGGTGCATTTATCCGATGAACTCATTCAAATAAATTGATATTTCAGACAAACATTCACAGTGAACACAGGATTTATTTTATCTCAGGCATTTTCTTCATTAAGAATTAATGTCATGCCATGTTAGAAATTTAAAAATAAAAAAAATGTGCAAATATAGCATCTGAAACATGGCTCAAGAGTGAAAAGCACCTTTTTCCCTCCTTTTCAATGCTCCGATAACCACAAATAGAATCATCATATTTCAGGGGAAAAAATACACCTCTGGACTGAAAATAAGAATCAAAAATTTCTGCACAAAAGGCAATATTTTCAAAACATTGCCCACACCTGAAAGCACAGATGTTCAGTTCAAGTGCTTTCTCAACACAACTATAGACCACTGGAGAACAGAATTCTACATGGTACTGTTAGCATTCTCAGACGGTTATATGGTTCTTTCCTGCAATGAGCCAAACAGCTTTCCTTTGAGCACTATCAAATTCAAGAACATTTGTAAGCTAACAGCTGTAGACTAACAGGAGTAGTTGGATTTAGTCTTTAACTTAAGGAATTGATGCAGGCTGCCATCTTGATTTTCAAGACTTTAGGATGATCTCCATTGCAAGAAATGATGTGTTCTTAACTCTGGTTAGCTAACCCTACGGAGCTTACTCAGGTTAAAACAGTGAAGGCACAGTGACTTGACTTTCAACACGGGTTAGCAGCTCGAGTTAAAAGTCCTTAGGGGAGCCAAACTGCTCTGTCTTCACTGCTATTTTAACCTAAGTTAAGACCACACTTTTATTTTATTTTTATATTTATATTTATTAGAAGACAACCCCTAATATTTGATAGAAAGGAAGGCTTAAAATATTGAAGATGTAGAAATTAACAGCAGCCTTTGATTTTCTTCAATTTTTCCCATGTCGCACACAGTTGTGAGTGAATGAAATGTATCCTTACTCACGGTCTTACCTTGCGTTGCACAGATCCCATTCTTACAGACTTTGCATCCACAGACTGGTACGTGAGCCACAGGCCTGTGTCTGCATGTTGTATGTAGCATACTGAGTCACCATACTTTATTTCAGATGCTCCCATTCCATCAACCTCTTTTCTCATCCCTATATCCAATTTTTCCTAAAGTGAAAAAAGGTGCAAGCCCAATTAATCAATAAACACAGCAACAAACATTGAATGCTGGATGTTATTTTCATTGGTTGAAGGAACTGTAAGAACACTGTAGACATTGTTGTATTCCCTCATTGCCAAAATGATTAATAAAGGGGGAAGTAATAAATACCACTAGCTTGTCAGCCAAATACTTGAATGAAGAGAGAGAGAGAGAGAGAGATCTTCTCTGTACAAAATCCAGGTGAACATTATTGAAGAACATATTTTATATTCTATGATCTGATTTTCCAGTCAGTTTAATCCCAGTGAGCTAGCATAAAATGGTATAAACAAAATGGAGAATCAGACCTTATATTGGTTAATCAGATTTCAGTTTTACTAGCCTATGCTCTCTGCAGAGCATTCCTCAGAGGTACAAATTCTGCTCATCCTACTCAATCTTCAATTAGCAGGAGTTCTGCACAAGCAACACCAGTACGACAGATCTCAAAGTAGTTCAGGTAAAGAAAACAAGAAAGTCTGCTCCAGTATACAACTATGTGTCTGAAAACACGAGACATAACAGGCATACTGGGTCAGACCAACGGTCCATCCAGCCCAGCATCCTGTCTTCTGAGAGTGGCCAATGCCCGACACTTCAGAACACGGCAATTTCCAGTGACCCATCCCCTTTCATCCACTCCCAGCTTCCGGCAGGTGGAGGTTTATGGGCACCCAGTTGCATCCGTGACCATCTCAGCTAATAGCCAATGATGAACCTGTCCTTCATGAAAGTGTCTAATACTTTTTTGACCCCACTTATGCTTCTGGCCTTCACAACATTGCGTGGCAACAAGTTCCACGGGCTAATAGCACCATATAAAGAACTACCTCCTTTTAAGCCCACTGCCTATTAATTTCTTTGGGTGATCCCTGTGAAGGGGTAAATAACACTTCCATACTCAAAAAGAAAAGGAGTACTTGTGGCACCTTAGAGATTAACCAATTTATTTGAGCATGAGCTTTCGTGAGCTACAGCTCACTTCATCGGATGCATACTGTGGAAACTGCAGCAGACTTTATATATACACAGAGAATATGAAACAATACCTCCTCCCACCCCACTGTCCTGCTGGTAATAGCTTATCTAAAGTGATCATCAGGTGGGCCATTTCCAGCACAAATCCAGGTTTTCTCACCCTCCACCCCCCCACACAAATTCACTCTCCTGCTGGTGCTAGCCCATCCAAAGTGACAACTCTTTACATAATCAAGTCGGGCTATTTCCTGCATAAATCCAGGTTTTCTCACATCCCCCCCACCCCCATACACACACAAACTGGGGGTGGGGGGGATGTGAGAAAACCTGGATTTATGCAGGAAATAGCCCGACTTGATTATGTTAAGAGTTGTCACTTTGGATGGGCTAGCACCAGCAGGAGAGTGAATTTGTGTGGGGGGGTGGAGGGTGAGAAAACCTGGATTTGTGCTGGAAATGGCCCACCTGATGATCACTTTAGATAAGCTATTACCAGCAGGACAGTGGGGTGGGAGGAGGTATTGTTTCATATTCTCTGTGTATATATAAAGTCTGCTGCAGTTTCCACGGTATGCATCCGATGAAGTGAGCTGTAGCTCACGAAAGCTCATGCTCAAATAAATTGGTTAGTCTCTAAGGTGCCACAAGTACTCCTTTTCTTTTTGCGAATACAGACTAACACGGCTGTTACTCTGAAACTTCCATACTCATTTTCTCCACACCATTCATGATTTTATAGACCATCATATCCCCTCTCCCCCTTAGTCCCCTCTTTTCTAAGTTGATCTTTTCAATGTCTAATCATTTTTGATGTCCTCCTCTGTACCTTTCCCAATTCTAATACATCTTTTTTGAGATACTGCATGCAGTTCTGGTTGCCTATTTGAAGTGTGCCCAAACCGTGGATTTATGGAGTAACATTATGACATATTCTGTCTTATCTATCCCTTTCCTAATGGCTCCTAACATTATTAGTTTTTTGTTTTTTTTTTACTGCCGCTGCCCATTGAGCGGATGTCTTCAGAGAATTATGCACAACAATTCCAAGATCTCAAGTGCTAACAGCTAATATAAACCCTATCATTTTGTTTATATCATTAGGATTATGTTTTCCAATGTGTATTTCTTTGTACTTAATATTGAATTTCACCTGCCACTTTGCTGCTGTCACCCAGTTTTGTGAAATCCCTTTGTAAGTCTTTGCAGGCAGCTCTGGACTTAACCATCTTGAATAATTTTGTATCTGCAAACTTTATCACCTCACTGTTTCCCCTTTTTCCAGATCTTTTACAAAGATGTTAAACAGCCAGGTCCAAGTACAGATCCTTGAGGATCCCACTATTTCCCTCTCTCCATTGTGAAAACTGACCACTTTTTCCCACCCTTTGTTTTCTGTCTTTAACCAGTCACTGATCCATGGGAGGACCTTCCCTCTTACCCTGGGTTTGCTTACTTTGCTTAAAAGCCTTTGGTGCTTGTCAAGGGCTTTCTGAAAGTCCAAGTACATTATATCAGTTGGATCACCCTTGTCCACATGCTTGATGATTCCCTCAAAGAATTCTAATACATTGGTGAGGAATGAATTCCCTTTACAAAAGATGTGTTGATTCTTCCCCAACATATCGTGTTCATCTGTGTGTCTGATAATTCTGCTCTTTACTACAGTTTCAACCAATTTGCCTAGTGCCAAAGTTAGGCTTACTGGCCTGAAATTGCCAGGACTGCCTCTGAAGCCTTTTTTTAAAAAATCAGCATTACATTAGCTACCCTCCAATAATCTGACAGAGGCTGATTTAACTGATAGGTTACATACCACTGGTCCCTCATCTCCAGCCCCTGCCCTGAGCCAGGATCTGCTGCGGTCTTGACCTGGCGGATTGTAAGCAGGCCCTGCAGCCCAGTGGGAGCCCTTCCAGTCGCAGTTTTGTTATCTCTGGCTATTCTCTCATAGCCCCAGCCACTGCTAGCCTCAGTCTCAAGGAAGGAGCCTGTTTCAAAAGGTCTCTGAATAGTCCCACAGTCCAGTTCTGCCTTAAGGAATTTCTCAATAAGGTATGCTGCCTCCTCCAGGCAGGTTACCTGGTAGCATATGACAAAACTTCTCCTGTACCACCATCTCCACAATTTTCTGTGGGGAACATACCTCGGGCTTTAACCAGCAAGAACAGAAATCCCATAACTGTTGAGCCTCTGCTCAAAGCCAAGAGTCTGGGACAAATTCTTCCAATCATAACTAGCAAAAATATCCTTCTTTGCTGGTCCCAAATAGTCCACATGCCTGCATTCAATGCTCGATAGGCCTTTGGGGAGGTCCCCTCCATAGCACCATGTGCAGTCTGAGCCTTCCCTGTCAAGGACAGGGTTTCTTTTGATGGCCCACACATCTTAGGGCTATTGGTGGGCACCTGCCCCCTGTTCAAAGATCTCCAGGGAGGCCTCGGGGTTCTCCTCCAGCCCCATCTTAGTGAAGAAATCCTCCCCGATACAGAAGTAACCAAGGCATCACCCTCATCTGAGAGTTCCAGCCATCCTGATCCAGCAGTTAGAGCAGAAACCGCTGCTGCTGCCGTTGAGACTACTGTTGCTGCTTGTGCTTGTTGTGTTGTTGCTTCTGGACCAAGAGCTGCTACAGCTACTACAGTGGCTGACATCATTTCCCCTGCCATTTCAACAGGGCCTCCCTACCTATTTCTGTCTTCCGGCTGTGGTAACTGTTTGTATGTATTCTCCACCAAGTGTCAGCTGGCGGGCACAATGTATTATTTAAACACAAAAACGTGAAGTAACACAAAACAAAGCGATTCCCCTGACCAACACCAGCTGCAGTCTCCAAAGGTCTTTCCCTACCCCTGCTCAGCTACAAAGAGGGCATGCCCCTTCCTTCAGTCCCCTGCAGAGTCATGTGACAGGCTGGTAGCTGTTAACCTTCTCTTGGCTGTTCCACCCTTTCACCCCAATGCTTTGGGAATGACTAGAATGGTTCTAGCATAGCAACAGCAGCAGTCTGGGGACGCGGCTTGATAGTGAAGGCTGTCAAGGGATGTTTGTCTTGAATTAAAGAGAAACACAATCTCCGAGTTAGTGAGGGATTTGCAATGCATTGCTTACGTAAATGGAGTAGTCATGAGTATCATCAGAAAGTTTTTGTTCACAAATATGACTGGATTTCTACCTCCTACAAAAATTATAAATGCATTCTGAAGCACTTGAAAAAAGTTCTAAATTATTGTTCACAGAGAATTCTTAAACTTAAGTTTGGTAACATTAGGCATCCTAAGAAAATATATTCATTGATTCACTTCATTAAATTGCTTTTGATGCAGATTTTAATCTTGCTCTGTTTGAATTCCTGGGGTGATTTAAATTCTTTTCTTCCTCCAGCCAATTATTTGATATATTGTAATAGTTGACTTGTTCATGCATCTGATACTGATTGTAGAATATACTTTTAGCTCATAATTAATTCATGGATATTTGCTATAGATATATTATTTGTTCATATCATGTCTCTTAGTGTTGTATTACATTACATTATTTTAAAATGTAATACAAATATGTGGAGATAACAAAAATGTAAAAATGTGAAAGCTTTTATAATAGGAAGCTGTGTGCAAATACTGATGCAAGAATCACCACATTAGGTCCCATTGTTACTTGAACAAATGACTGCCCTGCACTGTAAGCAGGGTGGCCTTTGTTCAGGCTTGCTGGAGGAAGGCAGTAGTGCTTTATGGCGGTGGGGATGAGGGGGAAACAAGGTCAGAACCTGCTGTAAAAAGGTGGTGTTGGTCAGCTTTGCAGCCCTGATGCACCCCCTTGGAATGTAAGGGCGGAAGGCTTTAAAGGTGCAAGTTCTGGCATTGGAAACCCCTTTCTCCACACAGCAGGCAAGGTAGCAAGTTGTGTGCAAATACTGATGCAGTAATCACCACATTAGGTCCCACTGTTACTTGAACAAATGAAAAGCTGATTTCAAGCTTCTGAATTG